GCATTTAAGGCCCTTATCTGGAAGGTAAATCACAAGACTTTTGAGGAGATACAGAGGGAAGGGCTGGAGGTAAAGTGGAGAATTATAATATTGCATAGGTAAGTCACTAAATGGGTAAAGCAAAGTCATAAATCTGAGTTGGGGGATGAAAAATTTTATGTAGGGTTGTTTTAAAGGTTAAAAATCATTAAAGGAAGAGTTACCATTTGGCAACTGTTTTTTTTTTTATTTAATGAGGAAAGGAGAGCAAGTAATAACCAAGCATTACTCAAGAAACATATGACTGAAAAATTGAGAAAAGTGCATAATTCTGAAAAGCAGTTAGAAATGGCAGCAAGAATGAAGATAGAGCCTTGGATCTCAGAAATAAGAGGAACAACTTGGGCTGAAAAACTATTAAGAAAAAGGCAAGCCAAAGCTGTGAAAGCTAAATTAAATTTCTTAGAACAAGGTAGTAAAATTCAGTATGATAGAACCCAGAGGCAATTGGAACACCAATGCTCTTTAAAACATACAAATGGCTGCCTAATGCATTTTACAGATACATGTGAATTGGGAATAAAGGCTAATGTAATTGTTCAACAGTGTGGTGCAGATGATGAAATCTAAGCACTTAATTTGGAAAGTGTATAGTATTAAGATGACTGCATTGATTACTGTGAAGAGTATGACATGTTTGAATGGGCTTGATAGAGAAGAAGAACTGTGCTCTGTAATTTAGAAATCTAAAGCTACTTATTTCTTCTAGAGCATGCATTTTATTCAATCAGCTTTCTCTATTAGTTGTTTATAGTCAACGTTTGAAACACCAACACCACCAACAAAAAAAAGGCACACTTGAACTTCCCCAAATAGAATTGGATTTGTTCTACTGAGGTAATATTTATATTATTTTGATATATATAATTCATAACTTGATTGGAAGATGAATTACTAAATTAGGAGCAATTTTATAATCAAAACATACATTTCTACTTATATTTTGTTTTCCAAATGTATTTTCTAGATGTATTATAACATCTAGGAGTGTATATGTGTGTGTTTCTTTTTCTCATATTTCTCTATTAAAGCCCCATTGAGAGAGGTGCCATTATATATATATGGGTTCTCTATTTGGAACTCAGCAGAGACTCCCTGGAAAGATACTGAGGCACAGTGGAAAGAGAATCTTCTTCTTCCTGTTTTTGGGGCTGTGGGTTCTCAAATAAGTAGAAGGAAAACTATTTAGTTCTGAGTTCAATGAGTTACCCATGGTATATTATGTGTTTCCATAATGATGGCTTTGGAAAACGGCTGTCTTGTCAGATGCTGCCTTTCCTCACTCCTTCCTCAGCAGGAAGTTCACTGCCACTCAAAAAGGACAAACTCAGGCCAACTCACAGTGTGCAAAGTTTGTTTTTAACAATCCCTACTTTTCTTTCTAGAGTCCTCTTCTGTACTAATGACCCTTCTGCTGCCCCGGTCAAAATAATGAAATCAGTTTAGCCACATTTACAAATGGTCCCTGATTTATGATGGTTTTTCTTTTTATGATTCTATGATTGTGCAAAAGCTGTATACATCCAGTAGAAACTAGGCTTTGAGTTTTGAAATTTGATCTTTTCTTAGGCTAGCAATACCCTCATACGATACAGGATATCGCTACTGTCAGCTCTGCCAGCCATGCAATCACGATGATGAACAACTGCTACCTATGGTGCACGGTGTAGCCAGATGATCTTCCTCCCGGGTAGGCCAGAGTAAGTGTTCTGAGCATGCTTAAGGTGGGCTAGGCTAAGCCATGATGTTCAGTAGGTTAGGTGTATTAAATGCATTTTCAACTTAATGATATTTTAAATTTATGATGGGCTTATCAGGAGATAATTGCATCACATATTGAGGAACATCTATATCTTGTTACTTACACCAGAGGTATTTATATTTCAAACAAGTATCACATTAAAAGTGAAATTTCAAGTATCAGAGTGAAATTTTTGAATAGCTGTGTTTTGGGTAGCTGATTTTGGATAGCTAAATCATGGAAATAATATTTTTTAAATCATAAAAGTTAATATGCTAGAGGAGTTACAATTAAAATATACACAAGTTTTTCTCCATTAATTCTCCTCAGAGTGCTAAGAAAGCTGGTTCACATTGCTGTGATCTTTCAGCTTTATGTGACATGTATTTCTGAATACTTTAAGTACAGTGAGGTTAAGATTGGATCACCTCAAAATCTCATTATCTTTTAAGTTGACATTTATTTGGAAATAGTGATGATAACCAAATGCCTTTTGTCTACATCTCACCAAAGGGGAAAACTGTGTTTTCACTTACCAATAACAAACTGAGACCTGACACTCGCCCAGATGATTGCCTCTCCAGCATCCCACACTAAGCAGAATTTTAAAAAACAAATCAGTAGTAGAGTGGTCTTTCTTTTTTCCTTCTTTTCTCTTTCAGCTTGTTTAAAAAAATGTATGGAAGTAGTTGGATACAAATTATAGTATAGTATATAGCACATGGGGGAAGGTTGCTGAAGGTTTGTGGCTTCCCCTAACATTCATCACATGTACCATGTGCCTCAAAGTTCACCACAATAAATCTTTTGGTTCTCAGATAGCATGTCAGTCCTCCAACTGCTAAAAACCACTGCACACAGTACCAAACCCCAGACAGGATGACTCCCCGTAGGTACAAAGATTGTATTTCTCAATGCCTATAAGGGCTAATCAGTTCATTCAAGAATAGGAAGTAATAAGATAATCCATTTTCTATTTGAATGAGCCAGTTATTTAACATCTTTGTGCTTTTTTTTTCTCAGTTGTAAACATGTTCTAATAATTTACCTATTCCTTTGGGTCTTCCTGAGGATTACATCAAATCACGTTCATAAAGTACCTGGCAAATAAAAGTACCTAATAATTGGCAGCCATTACTATTGTGCTAACAAGATTTGAACTTGAAAAATGACTTCTCTCTTTGGGTAGGGGGTAGAGTTGGTTTGCTGTGGGTGACAAAGAGGATGGATTTCAGAAGTAAATCTGAGAATGTTTACTAAATTAAGTCACATGCAGAACAAGCATAAAAAACAACAATAATAGTGGAATGCAACTGACAGAACTTTTAATGACAAATGAGACTTTCGGTGAAACCTGCCAAAAATACTGCCAAAGGAAATATGAGACATGCTCTAGGTTAGCTTGTATCCAGCTTAATTTAAATGACTGCTTTGTCACGCAGTTGGGAACATGGCACATACATATATTGCAAAGTACATAAAAACAAGGTGTTTTGAAACACACATCACACCATTTATGTAAAGTACCCTGGATTACCTAAGAAAGATTTTCATTGTCATTAGATAATAATGGGAAAATATTTCCTATGAATTGATAAGGTGATAATCCAATGGAAGAGTGTCTTTAGTTGACAAAAGATGTTTCCAGTGTCATGTTTCTCTCCATTTAATCTCTAAAGTGGCACAAAAATAAGTTTCTCCACTTGGATACTTTCCTGACATCTCTTGATAACTCAAAAGCCTCTCCCACTCAGTATGTCCAAAAATGATCTCACTATGCACATCCCAGCCCCCAAACTGTCCCCTTCCTGTGTTTCTTGTCATAGCAAAACACTACAATCACCTGCAACCCATTCATTTTGCAAGCCAGAAATTTAGAGGTTATTCCTCACAACTCCCTTCTCTTCCTCCTAAATCCAACCTGTCATCAAATGCTGTTAATTTGGCTTGGTAAATTTCTCCCTGTATTCATCTCTCCTTGACTCCCCTACCATCATCAGTCTAATATAACCCGTCACCTCTCTCCCAGACTGTGGCAGTAGCCTCCTAACTGGCCTAACTTCATATTATCCCATCTGCTGTCAACACCCTTACCCCACCCACAACTTTTTCTTCCACCATTGCATGAGCTGGATCAGATCCTGCCACTCCAACTCAGCTTAAAACTCTTGATAACTTTTGATGGCCTTAGGAAGAAGAGGAAAAAATACCTTAATGTGGTTCACAAAGCCTCACTTTTGCTTCCTTCATGTTACTGTAGCTTTCTTGCCTCTGCTCCAGCCACACATGCTGTTGTGGGCTCACTGTGCTCCCTCCTGGCACAAGGTAGCTGACATTGTTTGGCTGTGTCCTCACCAAATCTCATCTTGAATTGCAACTCCCATAATTCCCACATGATGTGGGAGGGACCGATGGGAGATAATTGAATCATAGGGCGGTTCCTACCATCAGATCTCATGGTTGTGGTAAGTCTCATGAGATCTGATGGTTTTATAAGGAGTTTCCTTTTCCACTTGGCTCTCACTTTCTCTCTTGCTGTCTCCATTAAGAAGTGCCTTTTGCCATGATTGTGAGGTCTCCCAGCCATGTGGGCCTGTGAGTTCATTAAATATATTTTTCTTTATAAATTACCTAGTCTCGGGTGTGTCTTTATCAGCAGTGTGAAAACAGACTAATACAGTAGCTCTGGGTTTTCCTGATGCCTGAAATGCTCTTGCCAATCCTCTTTGCCTAGTCACCTCTTCAGATTTTGATTTCACTTCCTTGAGGAATCTTTCCTTGACCTCCTTGACCACATCAATTCCCGGTTATAAACTTTCACAATACCTTGCAACTCTTCTTCACTGCACTCAATAAAGTTGTGCTTTTATTTTGTTTAGCATTTTAATATTTTTCATTTCTATTATTGTATAAGTTCCTGTAGAGAGAGACTGCATCTATTTTTGGTCACCTGCTAGCCCTAGCCTAAGCACAGTGTATATGATCTAACAATGTTCAGTAGTAAATATTGGTGGAATGAATGAATAAATGATGTCAGCTAAGTTTCCTACATTGCTTTCAGTAAAGAGACTATATTGTTTTGCTTTTAAAAAAAGTGTCAGCAAGCAATCTGTTTTGTAAAATGCCCAGTTTGGTTTGTAATTATAAATATGAAAATGGTTAACTCAATCAAATTGCTGTAGGGATATGAGATTTTGCAGAAAATGAGTTTGTTTATTACCTTCAGTTTTAAGGAGTTCAGCTTTTCCTCCCTGAGGTGTTCTCTCAGCATCTCCCGATGGAGCCTTTCCTGCTCCCTTGCAAACTCGCCAAGGGTGTACTGGCGCACACTGTTATGGCGGCTGGACATCCCCAGGGTGCTGCCCCCTTGACTGGGCACACTTGTAAAGCCTTGCCTCCTGGTGAAGTAGTACACGGTGACACAACTAAAATGTACATTCTTTGTCCTCAGCCGCTTCTCCCTTTTGAGAATAGAGGAAGCTGAAAGAGAAAGAAATAATTCTGTGAACACTTAGGGCAGCAGCTTTCAGACAAGGCCATGAAAGTGCCATTTGGTGATGCTGAGTTTATCCATGGTCAACCCTTGTTGGCTAGGGCACTCTAAAACTGTTACATCCCAGAGTTGGCATTGACTTCTTATTTTCTTTCTTAAATTTTCTTCTAGCTGTGGCAGAGTAGACTTTTAAGTATAAAGGTAGTCTGTACTTTTAAGTATAATGATAATCTAAGCAAACTTTCAGGAAAGTTGACAATAGTCTGTGAAGCTGTCGGACCACTTATAGTAGTCTCCCCTTATCCTTAGAGGATATATTCTCAGACCTCCTGTGGATGCCTGAAATCACTGATAATATTGAGCCCTATATATACGATGTTTTTTCCTATACATACATACATACCCAAGATAATGCATGGTAAGAAATTAATTACAACAGCTAATAGTAAAATGAAGCAATTATAATAATATGCAAACATCAGCACTCTTGTGCTTTGAGGCTATTATTAGGTAAAATAAGGGTTCCTTGAGCATAAGCACTGGGATACCCACGGCAGTTGATCTGATAACTGAGACGGTTACTATGTAACTAATGGGCCAGTAGTATAGACAGCACTGATGTGCTGGACAAAGAGAAGATTCAAATCCTTGGGGAACGGGAATCAGACAGTGTGAGATTTCATCACACTACTCCCAACAGCCTGAAATTTAAAACTCAAAAATGGTTTATTTCAGGAAATTTTTATTCAATATTTTTAGATTGTGATTGACCACAGATAATTTAAACTGGGAAAATAAAAACTGCAGATAATGGGGACAACTGTAAATTCTCATTTCCTCTAATTCTTTGAATTTTGGTTTTGTGATTTTCACAGGAGTTGTATTTTACTAAAATAATAAAAAAAAAGACACATGGTACAAACCCTCATACCTCAGATCTTATTTCTATGTGGAGGGTCTTTGGTATTAAAACAAATGTCTGCAAATTTTAGAAAATTTCAAAAAGCAATAAAAACACACAGAAAAAGGCTCATTGGCACTATTTAGATATTTTATCAATCTAAATCTAATAAAACTTTCATTTGAAAAAACAAGTGTTTTCATTAAATAGCATTATGAACAATGGCATTCTAATCCCATTGTATCCCAAGTATACATTGGGGCATTGAAAATGCCTGAGATATATCAGAACCCTTTTATTCTTCTTTAAACTGGTAAATAAAAATTATATATATTTATTATGCTTAGGGTGATGCTTCGATATATGTATGTATTGTGAAACTGCTCAAACTAACTAACATATCAATTATCTCACATACTGATTTTTTGTGGTAACAGTGGGAGCCTTTATTATTAGTTACACAGCATCAAGATGCACAGAGAATTCAGGAGAGGTAGACCCTGGCAGTAGTTGAGAAGAAGAAGGCCACACTTTATAAACATGACTTTTTGAAATTTGAAGACATGGTAATCATCTGGCCCAACCCTTTCATTTTATAGTGAAGTAACCCAAGTCTGTAGAATTTGAGTGACTTTTTTTGATGTAGACTGTTAGTGAGGCAGGTAGCGTAAACCCAAAAGCTTCTAGTTTGCTGACAAATTATATGATCCATCCCACTGGGGAAGGAAAAGGCACACGTAGTTGAGAAGAAAGAATCATGCTATTGTTTTACTAGCTGAGGATTTGTTCTCAGTTCATCATTTTTTCCTGTCTGCTGTTCTATTATGGGTTGAACTAAAGTCCTCATCTCAAGTACCTCAGTATGTAATCTCTCTTGGAAACAGGGAATTTAGAGAAATAAACAAATTAAAATGAGGTTATTAGGGTGGGCCCTAATCCAAGATGACTGGTGTCTTTATAAAAGCTAAAATTTGGACACAGACATGCATAGAGGGAACATGATGTGGAGAGTCACAGGAAGAGCACCATGTGAAAACTGACACAAAGATGGGGATTCTGCCACCACAAGCCAAGAATGTCGGGGGCTACCAAAAACTGGAATATACAAGGAAAGATCCTTTCCCACAGGTTTCAGAGGGAGCCTGGCCCTGCCAAGACCTTGGTCACCTAGCCTCCAGAACTGTGAGCAATTTCTGCTGTTGTAAGCCACCCCGTTTGTGGTCATGTTTAGGGCAGCCCGAGAAAACTGATACAAGTGCTCAAGCAGAAAAGGAACAGAAGAAAATGAACTGAGAAGAAATCCTCAGATGGTAAAATACCGTAACTTAACATTTATGGAGTGCTTCCCGTGCTGTGCTTTGCAGAGAACTTTACATGAATTATTTCATTTTATCCTTGGAGCTCCCTGGTTGATATTACCCAAGTCCCCATTGTTAGGAAAGCAAATTATCAAAGGTTAAATAACATGGCCAAGGTCTTATATCCAATGGTAAAACTGGAATCTGTTATTCAGAGCCCAGCCTTTTCACTACCATATTTCAGCACAGAGCTGAGGCCACACTAAGCGAGGTGAACACAGCTGAGATCTGGCATCATTCTACCTCTGGAAAATGTCAACTGCTGCTGGCTTCAAGATGATTTTGATTTGGAAGCCTGTATAAGCAATGAAAGAAAATTGACTCTAATTCAAGTTGGATTTATATAAGAATGTTTTCCCAAGGAGATTCAAACTCCTTTGTCTCATTTTTTTCCCCCATGAAACATTCAAGCCAAATATAGAGAGGCTGCTATGATTATTTTCATTTTATGGATTTGTTTAATCAATAAGTATAAATTGAGAGCCTACTATGTGCCAGGCACTTTCTAGATGATTGGGATACATCAGTTAAAAACACAGATGCAGCTCATGCCTGTAATCCCAGCACATTGGGAGGCTGAGTCGGGCGGATCACCTGAGGTTAGGAGTTCAAGACCATCCTTGCCAACATGGTGAAATTCTGTCTTTACTAAAAATACCAAAATTAACCAGGTGTGGTGTCACATGGCTATAATCCCAGCTACTCGGGAGGCAGAGGCAGGAGAATTTCTGTCACCTGGGAGGTAGAGGTTGCAGTCAGCCGAAATCATACCACTGTACTCCAGCCTGGGCAACAGAGTGAGACTCCATCTTAAAAAATAAAAATAATAAACAAATGAACAAATAAAAAAATAAAAAGATAAAAACACAGATGTGATCCCTGCCTGTGTGGAGCTTCCATTTCAGTGATGAGAAACTCAGGCACAATGAAGAGACTCAGAAGATTAGACAGTAAGAGAATTATAACCTCAGCACAGAAATTCAGCTTTCCCAATTTTCTTCTTCTCTGCTGTTTCACTTCTCCAGAAGATACTGCCAGAAAGTGAATGCTTTCCAACATGTGCATAATTTTTCTATTTATGTATGTATATATTCACTGTGACACACCTGTACTCCAGGCAGTAAAGACAACTTTCAACTTTGATTTAAGTTATGAGTGCTTCATAACTATATGTTTAAATCATCTCAAAACAAGGAATTTTGTCAAAATGTAAAAGATCACCATAGAAGACAAATTTAACAATCTGCCCAGTAATCTGCTATGAAATCTGACAACCTCATCTGTCACCCCTTACAGCAGGCTAGAGCCTCTGGTTTTGTGGTAATAACTTTCTATCTGTTTTGCTCTTGATAATATAAAAATGATGCCCTAAAGACATTATTGTTCAAGGCCATAAATTTATAGATAAAGAAAAATATTTTAATGTACTCATTTAAAATAATTATTATACACACCTCTGGTAATTTTTTTTTTTTTTTTTGAGATGGAACTTTGTTCTTGTTGCCCAGACTGGAGTGCAAAGGCACGATCTTAGCTCATCGAAACCTCTGCCTCCTGGGTTCAAATGATTCTCCTTCCTCAGCCTCCTCAGTAGCTGAAATTTCAGGTGTCCACCACCACACCCAGCTAATTTTGGTATTTTTAGTAGAGACAGTGTTTCACCATGTTGGCCAGGCTGTTCTCAAACTCCTGGCCTCAGGTGATCCACCTGCCTCAGCTTCCCGAAGTGCTGGGATTATAGGTGTGAGACACTGCGCCTGGCCACCTCTGGTAATTTTATTACTTACTTTTTGGACAATTAGTGACACTCTCAAGAAATTTCCTTTCCAAATGTATTTATATCTCCACCTGCAGTTTTAGATTGTAAGAATTTTTTACACTTCTGGGTGAATCTATTGTACCATGCTTTCCCAGAAAAGCCAAATTAACTTTTCCCTAAAAGCCAGAGTCTGGAGGTGATTTTCTAAGGCCTTGAAGATGACAATAGTCTTCAACATTATTGGGATTACAGGTGTGAGCCGCACCCAGCATCATCTGTGTTTTTAAGAAGGCCTACAGCTGGACCCCTGGCAGTACTGACGCTGTCAAAAGGAATTAGGAACACTGCTTCCTCCTATTAGTATTTATAATTCTAACATGTGCTTATGTTTATTTTAGCATTTATATATTATACATAACATTGTGAGAACAATGATTCAAAAGCCCATGGAATCTATTGAAAAGGAAATCTTGGAAATACTGCAAGATCAGCCTTATAGGGGATATTGTAACTGTGGCTTTCCTGAAGTTCAGAGCCACCCAAGTCTCTCTTCTGATGATTGAATCAGAGGACTAGCATCAGCCTTTATGAGCTATTTTCTGCCTCCAGGCCTCAATTTGACTAACATCACAAAATGAAGTTGTAAAAAAGAGTCTCTGCCCTTTGAGCCTGAAAGAAGGAGACTAAATTCACTCAGCACAGCTGCCGTAGGGAATCTGAAACCTCCCTGATATACCTACCTTGTAATTTGTGCCCTTTCCAAGATCACTAAGGTCTGCTTTGTGTCTCTACAGAGTTCAATATCGGCTTTACTACTGCAAGGTCAAGAGCAAGCACAGGAGGGAGGAGAATGGGGCTTTCATGAGAGATTTGAAAATTAATTAGTCTGTTTTTGGCCAGTGTGGTGGCTCATGCTGGTAATCTCAGTATTTGGGAGGCTGAGGCAGGTGGATCCCTTGAGCTCAGGAG